CCCCTCCAACACAGACCCTGGTCATCCTGCACCATAATCCTCAGAAGCAGGTGAATTTCCCATCAACTCATCTTCTCCATATCCCCCAATTTAAGAACAGCCAGAGCCTTCTGGCCTCTCCCAGCCCTGGCCCCACATCCTGTGGGCCTGGGAAGGAAGCTCCAGCTCCCAGCTCACCCACTGCCCACAAGTTGGGTGGGATAGAAGAACCCCTTGTCTGAAGAGCCCAGCATGAACAACTCCAGCGGCTGGAAAGGAAGCTGGGAGACGCCTGTGGAGGGTGGGGTGGGAACCTGAGAGCCCACACAGGTGTCCATAAAATGAGGAGCCCCTACCCACCAGTCTAGACAGTCTAGGGCCCAGCATGACCCCACAGGGCTCTTGCTGTTGCAGAAACCCTCCATAATGGGCTCTTTGTCTGCCAGGTCCTGACATACAATAAGACTGACTCCTACCCCCACCTGCCCCCACGGCCCCCTCATTCCAGGCCCATTTGCACACACAGGGTACACACACATACACAAGGGCACACATACAGGGGCACGTACATATATGGAAACACATGCAGAAACATGCACAGGGACACACAGACACACAAGGTGCACAGGCTACGGGACACCCCCTGGGCACTTGGAGAGTCTGACCTCAAAATCCCCTACCCCTTGTTCTTCAACTTGACCGCTTGGCTGCCTCCATTCTTTGCTTACCATCTGGCTTCCTTGAGACCTCTCACCTCCGACCCTGACCCCTAGACCTGGGCCAGCTGCCCAGCCTTACTGGCGCTCAGAATGGGGGTGAGGATCAGTGTGGCTGTAGGCTGTCCCCACACCTCAGTCACCCTCAGTCTCTGGTGAGGAGGGGTGGGGTGTGATTAGAGATCCTAGGGACTAAGGATGAACATGTCTCCTGAAAGATACCCCCTTCTTCACCAGGTCTCAGGATTGGGAATAAAAGAAAGCCCTGTACCTCCTACCCTGAGGAACTTCAGAGTTAAGCCAGCCACTGACCACAGGTCCAGTGAGCCCCCAAGAAAGCCCCAGCAACAGTCAGCCCCAAGCCTGACTGGCCCCCGGTCCAGACAGTGAGCTGCAGACAGACAAGAGATGTGGAGCCACCAACACCCTCAGGGCTGCCTGCCTAGCCAAAGGCCAGCCCCAGCTGCATAGAGGGACAGTCACCAGGCACAGAGGGAAGCTTGGGTGTAAAGAGCTAGACACACAAACAGGCATACCTGGACAGTCTGAGAGGTGCACACACAGGGCAAGAGACCCAGAATATGTGAGAGGCACAGTCAGACCCAGACAAGCAACCCCAGGGCTCACCAGCAGACAACCAGACAAAAGGAGACTGTCAGACCATGGGTTCTCACCCCTCAGCTTAAACCCCGCCTTCTTGCCCCAGCCCTGTCTTCCTCCTAGCTCAGATCAGAACCCAACCCCCCTAACTGGTCCTTCCCCTGTCTTGAAGATACCCCAAGGAGTATTGTGGGGATATCCCTCACAGGAACCTCCTTCCTTGGTAGGTCAAGGCCCTCAGGGGAGAGAGGACAGACAGAAGTGTCTAGGGACACTCTGCTACCTCCTTCGGTGTGGCCAGAATGTCCAATGCCTGGTGCCCTCTCCATTACAGCTAGAACAAAGCTCTTGAGGAACCACTAGAAGTTCAGAATTCTCAGAGCCTCACCTTGCCCATGGATAAAATGGACATCCTAGTAATAGGTCGAAGTCTGTAAACTGTCCTTACATTATTATAATGATAACCTTTGTATGCCCAACTCACCCTCCTTCCTTCTGACCATTCTCTCAGGGCCACAATCTTTGTTCTCCCTCAGAAGCGCCTGGATACTTTGTGGGGGTTGAGGATAAAAAGAAGCAACCCCGATCCCCGCACCTGAATGGGGGCCTGCTGGTCGTGGTGGGGAAGGGCGCCCCACCTGGAGCTTAGGGACGGTGAGAGGGCGGGCTCTGGGGGAAGGACTCCATAAAAATGGGCGGGCGCGTCGTAAAGGCAAATCTTATTCGGATAGGGTTCCAAGGGGTCCTAGATAGTTTGGTTTGGGGGGAGGGTTCGGTCCGGGTGGACCTTAGGTGGTTTGGGCTACATGGGGGCATCCTTGGGGATCCCTTAGGGATACAGTGCGTTTGGGTCTGTGAGAGCAAGCTTTAGAGGCAGGACCTCGGGGGCGGGGCTCTGAAGTACCCTAAGGAGCAGGCTTTCTGGGCGGAGCCATAGGGGAATTGGGCTCTTTGGGGACCTGCGCAGAGAGGGGTTTGTGGGGGTCGAATTTGGGGCCCAGAATACAGACAGGAAAGTGTGTTTTGGTGACCGGGCTTTTAAGGACGGGTCTTGGCTGGTGCCTTCGAGGTCTCTAGGCAGACTCTAGTGGGGTCATGAAGCGGGCAGCCCGGGCACTACGCGGAGGCGTGCAGCCTTCACCTCCGAGGGGTGTAATAGGTTCATTGAAGCTCACTCAAGGGTCCCCGATCCACCTTGCGATTATGGCCGAAATTCCTTTAGGACTCAGTTATTCTCAGTGGAATGACAGGGACCAGGAAATGCGAATGCTCCTTCTTTTCCAGACAGTCTTCCGCGTCCCCAGACCCAGGTGGTGGGGATAGGGGGGCACTCTCCTTTTCTAGGTCACTGCCTGAACAATAGGGGGAGAAGTAGCTGCAGGCCTGGGGCACCCTAAAGGAGGGGGAAACCGCAGGAAGGGGGGCTCCGAATTCTGTGCGTTCCCTAGAAGGAGAGGCTGGGGCAGGGAGCACCCATCCTGTTTTGAGGCCCCAGGGGCAGCCCCCGCATAGCTATGTGCTGGGGCGCTGACTGCAGAAGGATCCAAGTTCAGATGCTCTTGAGACTCCGCAGGCAGGCAAAGGCGTTTTCCCCCCGTCCTGTGGTACCCCCAACACCCACTTGCAAAGCCAAGATGGCCTACAACTCCTGGGGGGTTGTTGTGATTCATAAACAAAGTGCCCCGGAACACTGAAGCTCAGGGAAGGTATTACATTGTATTAAAATGACTTGTTTATCTTTATGTTGCATCTATGCCCCCCCAGGTGGCCAGAACTCCTGGCTGCCAGACTTCCCGGGGCCACTTCTTGGAATCTCTCCTCCACCTCTCACTATAGGAGTGCCTTTTGGCCTCAGTCTCCCCAGTTGACGAATGGGGGTGATCTGCACCTCCAAAGGCTGCCTTGAGGATTATTTGAGTAAACTTCTCTAGCACCGCTACATCCATGTAGCAAAGGCCACATAAATATTTACTGTTAGTTATATTTGCCTTTTGTTTTCCCAGACCTAGGAGCACAGACAATTGGCACCACATAACTGTTTGCTGATTTAATGAAAGTCAGTGGGACTCTTTACTCCCTTTTCTGCTCCCCATCCTATCTGGTTCCCTGCTGCTTCTCCCCCAACTCCAGGTCCCTAAGATCTGCCAAGGGTTTGGGGGAACATTCAACCTGTCGGTGAGTTTGGGCAGCTCAGGCAAACCATCGACCGTTGAGTGGACCCCGAGGCCTGGAACTGCCGTCCTCTCTTGTCCATCCATCTGTAACCCCCACCTTCCATATCTGGGGGCCAGGGAGCCCCTGATGTAGCCTGAGCACCTCTTTTCTCTTAGGCCACAGGGAAGGTCACAATCAACATTCATTGTTGTCGGTGGGTTGTGAGGACCAAGGCCAGACCCACCGGGGGATGAATGTCACTGTGGCTGGGCCGGACATGGCCTACGGGGAATGACAAAGGGGTGCAGACCAACTCACCCCCCCAAAAGCACTCAGTCTGTTCCTTTCTCTGCCACTTTGGGACCTTTGGAGAGAAGGGCTGGTGTCTGGGATCTCGATGGACACAGACTGGATTTAGGCATAGATACCAGAGGTGGGGGTGAGATAATCAGAAGATGGAGGCCGGCAATTGGAAGCCCTCTCTAAAAGTGGGTGGTGAATTCTGCTCCCCTGAAGGCTCAGTGAAGGTTTCTTGAATGGCTGGGTGGGTAGATGAATGGAACAGCCCCTCTTCCTTGTGTCCAAGTCCTAAACCCAGCTTTCCACCCTCCTAGCTGGGTGTCCCCAGACCCTTGGTGTCTGGACATCTTGGCACAGGTGGATGCTTTCAGCCTGGAGTCAGGTTGGTGATTCCTGAGGGGCTAGGGGTCCTATTAGCCCAGTTGGGCTTCTGCTTTCTCCTACCCCTTACTCCAGTGTTCTTTCTTACCCCTACTCCATGTTAGGCTAGGGATCTGCTGCCTCTCTACACCTAGCCCCACACCCAGTCAGGGGGCTCCAGTAACTGGAAGGAGGAGGCAGATTTTAAGCTTGTCCTCTGGCTTCAAACCTCAATTTGCTCATCCATTAAATGGGAGTTCCACTAAGACAATGGATGTGAAAACTCCCAGAGGGAAGCCAGAACTGGGGAGGGTGGCTCTTGTCACTCTGGCCCTTAGCCAGGGGCTGCCCTCCTTCCAGAGACAGATGGAGCTTTAGCATATCTCCCCTCTCCCCAGAGTCCCTCCTCAGACCAAGGAAGGAAGAAAGAAGTTACTAAGTTACTGGTCAGTCAATGCTAGCCTTTGGGGGCTGGAGTTCCCGTCCCCATCACCCAGTGAGGCTGGAGGGGCAGCCCCTTACAAGGAAGGGGAGGTAGGGTAGCCCCCCTCACCCCCACCCCCGCCCTGTGGTGTGTGTGTTAGAGTATGTGGTGCTACATCTCCAGGTCCCCCTTGCAGCCTGTGTTCTCTTGTCCCCCAGCTCACCCAGAGACCAAACATCCCTTTGGCAGGTGCATTAATGGGGCACCAAGCCCCCCTTCATAAAGAACCTCCCACAGCCGGCTCCTCCCCCTTCACACCCCCTTGGAGGTAAAAGGAGGGAATAGACAGCCCAGACTCCCAGGCTCCAGAGAGGGAAGGGAGGGGCAGTGGTGCAGGGGCTGAGGAGAGCTTGGGCCAGGCAGTTTCTTCTCTCTCTGCCCTTCTGCGTGGCACATGTGGCCCAGCTATGGGGACCTTCGACCTGTGGACTGATTACTTGGGTTTGGCTCGCTTGGTTGGGGCTCTACGTGGGGAAGAGGAGCCCAAGACCAGGCTGGACCCCCAACCAGAGCCAACGCCAAGTCCAGAGGGTCAACAGCCCAATCCAGAATCATTGCCAGCCCCTGAACGTCTGTGTTCCTTCTGCAAACACAACGGCGAGTCCCGGGCCATCTACCAGTCCCACGTGCTGAAAGATGAGGCGGGCAGAGTGCTGTGCCCCATCCTGCGTGACTACGTGTGCCCTCAATGTGGCGCCACCCGTGAGCGTGCCCACACCCGGCGCTTCTGCCCACTCACCGGCCAGGGCTATACCTCCGTCTACAGCTACACTACCCGAAACTCTGCAGGCAAAAGGCTGGCCCGGCCTGACAAAGCGAAGACACAGGATTCTGGCCACCGCAGAGGAGGAGGAGCAGGTGCCTGCACAGGTGGCTGGGGAACCTGCTGTGGAGGGGACCTGTCCCAGGACCAACTAGTATCCACCTCTGAGGGTTTGGGGGGAAATCATCTGTGTAGAGAGCTTAGAACAGCATTCTAGAAGTGTTTCCAGGGTATTGAAGCTGAGACAGGGTTTGCTGTGTAATATTGGGCAAGTCGGTCTCCCTCTCTAGGCCCATGGGGAAAATGCCATCTTTCCCAGGTGTGTTGGAGTCTGGCCTTGGGGCACAGCAGTGGAATCCAGATAGGTATAACAGGGATTCTGGTTGCACTTGGCAGTTAGGAGCTGTGTGGCCTGCGATGAGTTGCTCAGCTTCTCTGAACTCTGATTCCTCATTTGTTCATTCATTTGGCAAATAGTATGTGTGACTGTTCTGTGCCACGTGCTGGGCTGGGCCAGCAGTGAACTAGATGGTGCTGAGTGCTGAGTCAGGTGCTAGAGAAAGCACCTCACTCAGATAAAGGTGTCCTGGAAGAAGTGACTTCTGATTCAGTTCTTTTGAGGGCTGGGAAGTATGGCCCAGGCATTCCTACTTGTTCAGGACCTTACCAAAGTTCGGAGTGTCTAGGGTGAGGACGTATGTACTTGTACATTGGAGGGGGGGGTGTCATTTCAGGGGGTAGTGAAGGTCCTTTTGGGCCTTTGGAGTCATTTTTTTAACTTGGGCACTTAGGAGCCATGGGGTGAAACCAGGTCAGCATGTTAGAGCAAGCTAGACCACAGCTAACCAGGTTCAAGGGCAGTGGAAGCTGATGTGTCCCTTCAAGCAGAGGAATTTAAGGCAGGGAGGAGAGAAGGGCCCCACCTCTGGGGAAACAGTAGGTTGGACAGGTGTGTCCTGTTTTGAATTTGTTGTGTGTGGGGGTCACCTTAGGAGGACAGCTGGGGCTGAAGTTTAGGGTGCCCACAGCAGGCTATCTTCAGTCTGTATATTTTGTTGAAATGCAGATTGTGATTCCCTAGGTGTGGGTGGGGCCCAGGCATCTGCATTTCTAACCTGCTTCTGGGACCAAAGTTTAGAAAGCAGCCTGGGGCTGAAATCCCAGTGGTTACTATCATAGATACAAAAGATCTCAGTTCCTGTGGGGTTTTAAAAGAGAAAACCCTTTGGCCTTTGAGGAAGTCAACCGTGGAGAGCAGGTCTGAGTCAGCTGTGCAGCTGGGTACTGCCTCTGGCATGGGACTGTAGGCTCTTCAAGGTGACAGAGACAGAACCCTCCCCATCCTGCAGAATGGCAGTGAACATTGAGTTAAGTGTGAAAAGTCTGCCTCCAAACGAAGATAGTATTCCCTGTGAGGTTTGATTAGGGACTGTTGTCAATTTTGGAAGCGGATGATCTCAGATTTCCCCCCACCCCCCGCCCCCTTCCCCCGGTCCTAGAGAACAGGAAAACTTGCTTACCCCGACTGGAGGGTGGGGCACGGGATTGCCACAGAAAGGCTGCCCTGATTAACTTGTTCTGGATGTAACAAATCCGGGGAGCCCAGTGACCACAAGGAGGCAGCATGGTGCCCATAATCAGAATTCCCGTGCTTTGTCTCTGACTCTGGGTCCCACCCGAGCCAGGAATGTTGCTGGTTGCTATCTTAGGAGCAGCCCCTGGGTGGTGCCAGAGCCCCTGCAGCCATGTAGGCTGAATCGGGGATGTTCCCAGAGGATTGAATCATTGCCTGTGGTTGTTTCTCTCCTCTGCCTTAACATCCAGGTTCAAAAGGTGCTGGGAAATCTTCTGGACCATCGCCCTCCTGCTGTCCCTCCACTTCCACCTAGGAGGCTACCTTCACCACAGGATGTGGACTCAGGCTTGATGGAGGCTGGATTTCCAGGAAGATCTACTCTATGAGGACCTGCCCCTAGGCCTTTCCCTAGCCTGGCTTCGTGTGTCTGTGTGTGTCTGTGTGTTGGGGGGTGGCTCTTTGGAGCTGGCCAGGGAACACAAAAATCCCTCCCACCCCCGGGAAGGCACCCTATCCTCTTTATCAAGTTGACAGCCCTGTTGACAGCACTGCTCACAGCTGCTATCTCCCCCCAGCACTGAGCACTCAATAAATGCTTATGAATGGATCAACCAACATCAGATAAGGCCCAGTTTTGGGAAAAGGTCATTGCACCTTGCAAGTATGGGTTCTTTACTTGGACCTCCTTCCCCTCCCAGACCTCCACTGTTCTTTGAATTTTAGTTTGCCCTGGAGTACAGGGTGAGGTGCCTCATGCCAAGAAACAGGAGTGGGTATCATGGGGCAGCTGTGGGGTTCTGAGAGGCCAGCCTAGCCCAGCACCTCTAAACATACCACTCACCCACCCAGGTTGGCATCATGATGCCATTTGTGAGGATGCTGATGTTTTCACTCTCAGCTGTGTCCTGTGTATTGATGACACAAGATGGGAAGACTCCCTCCACTCACCCTTTAGCCTTGCACTGGGGGTGAGGGCTTTATTTGAAGAAGAAATTGAGGGACAATTAGGCTGATCTTCTCCTAGCTTCCTCATTAAGGAGCCCTTTAGTGAATGTTTATGTCACTGTGGATATGCCAGGGTCAAGAGACCTTGGAGCCAGGTAGTCCAGGGTGAGGAGAAGACACATGGGGGGCAGAGAAACTGTGTCCTGAGGGGTCAGGAAGGGATGGCAGTAGTCTGGGTCAGCTCAGGCAGGAGCTTGAGAGGGATGGGACAAGGGTTGGGGGTTAGGGGCTGCACTGGGGAATCCTCACTCCCCTGCCTACCTCCTCCATCTCCAGGTCTTGTCTGGCCCTGGGGACCCAGGGTTGGGTAGAGGAGCAGGAATTGGACTTAAAACTTGGGTCCCGGCTCGGCGCCTATAGTTCAACCGGCTAAGGCGCCAGCCATGTACACCTAAGGTGGCGGGTTCGAATCCCCAGCCCAGACCCGCCAAACAACAATGACGGCTGCAACCAAAAA